GGCCGCATCCGGCCCCCGGGCCTTAGGTTGCCTACCCCTGCACTACAACAACAACCACTTCATGCAAACATTTTCATATCAGATCAAACTTCACATGTTTTTGAGATGAACAAAACAGTTCCTCTACCAGGAATAAAAGTTTTTTGTATACTTCTCAGCACTTTTTTTTCCGAACACAATTGGTCTGACAAGAAATATCTTATGAGCCATTTTGAGTGCAGTGTTTCCCAGAAAGGTCTGTTAATTTCAGTGAAGTTCTACCAAGGCTAAACACCACTTTTTAGGACTTCAGCATAAATGTTTGCATCTGTGAGCTCTGTATATATAATTTTTGTTATATTCATATAACACTTCTCTGTATGTTAATCACTGGTAATTTATTATATATCAGAAGACCATCAATTTAAGGATTAGATTTTGCACAGATATTTGTTTGAATGTGCATGGGTCTCATTTCATGGATGTTGCATTGACAAGATATATAACATGTTATGTTGAAAATCAATAAAATAAATTTTACTTTATAACTTATCATTAGCTTTCTTGTAGTTCCTCTGTGATTAATAGTGACCTAGAAGTTTTTAGTGGTAGAGGGTTTGTAGTAAAATTGCTTAGCAATGGAGATGAGCACCGCTCCCTACAGTCAGACATGACTAGACAATCTTGTCAAAAAGGAACCTTCAACTTTACCTTTAGAGTGTTTTGAATCAGAAGGATAGACCTTAAATATAAATATATTCCACACACTCTCTTCACACCTTCGGTGGCAGGAAAGGTTCAATATGCAGATGACAAGACTAGAGGTGTTCAAATATATGAAAAGTTGTCATAAAGAACAGATTTTTTTTCCTGCAAAGTGAGAGTAGATCTGATGGGCTTAAGTTACAGGAGTATAGATTGTGAACATTGGGTGAACTGTCTTAGGACCTTATCACACGGGGGTCTCAAAGCAGAAGAAAAGCAAAAGAAGAAGCAATCCAGAAGCATTGGGGAATAGACCCCACAATACGGAAATGGCGATCACACGCTATATGAGTAATTGCGCAATTGCCAAATTCGCGAAGAAAGCGCATCCTGGATACGGATTTGCTGTTCACACACAAGTGAGAAGATCCCATCCAGAATTGATGGGGAAATGCTCCAGGATACGTATTTGATGATCAGACGTATTGCGAAAGCGGAGTTAATGCGCAATTAATCCAATCGCGCAAATGCAATACCTGGTAAACCCGAAAGCCAAAAGAACGGGGTTTCCTCTGCATTGGCACTGGGTTGTCTCTGGGTTGCCTGCGACGTCGTGTGAACAGACGGACAAATAATGCGCAATAGGTCTGGGTTTCCTTTGGATTATCTCTGCTTTAGACCCTGTGTGATAAGGTCCTATATTGTAAGAATGGTACAACAATGGAATCAATTACCAGTCAGCCATCAGGGATGCTCTGGTTCTGAATGCCATAAACAGAGAAAAGGGATGAAATAAATGGTATACTAAGCCTCCTCCAACTCAAGAACTTTAGGACCATTCATTAACATGCACATCACTTGCTGCAGTGTAGTCTTATTGTGTGAAGAATAAAATTTAGAAGACCCATTACCCTGGGGTCTTAAATATCTAAAGGCACCAGATTCTGTCTGATCTTGGAAGCTAAGTCCTGGTTAGTAGTTGGATCGGCAACCATTAATAAATACTATAGCTGTATGCTATATTTCAGAGGAAGGAACCACCTCTAAATATTCCTTGCCTAAGAAAACCCTATGAAATTCATGGGATCACCATATGTCAACAGGCGACTTCAAGGCACATACACACACACACACATTATCCTGGGGTGGGTGCCAGTCCCCATTGGTGAGAATCAGGGGAGTGTCCTCAAAAAGACCTCAACCTCAAGCAAACATATCATAGAATCATAGAATCATAGAGTTGTAAGAGACCACAATGGCCATCCAGCCTCTGCTTAAAGACCTCCAAGGAAGGAGACTCCACTACTCTCCGAGGGAGTGTGTTCCACTGTCGAACCGCCCTTACTGTCAGGAAGTTCCTCCTGATGTTGAGGTGGAATCTCTTTTCCTGGAGCTTACATCTGTTGTTTTGGGTCCTAGTCTCTGGAACAGCAGAAAACAAGTTTGGTCCCTCCTCAATATGACATCCCTACAAGTATTTAAACATGGCTATCACACCACCTCTCAACCTTCTCTTCTCCAGGCTAAACATCCCCAGCTTCCTAAGTCGTTCCTCATAGGGCTTGCTTTCCAGACCCTTCACCATTTTAGTTGCCCTCCTTTGGACACACTCCAGTTTCTCCACATCCTTTTTGAATTGTGGTGCCCAGAACTGGACACAGTATTCCAGGTGAGGCCTGACCAAAGCAGAATAGAGTGGCACTATTACTTCTCTTGATATATTCATGGAGATATGCTCTGTCAGTTATCAAGTATTTACTCTTCAGTTACATGGGCTGATTCATGGAATTTTAAAAGAAGCTTCATCCAGATGTTGTTGTTATCTCTTTGAAGCCATCTTGTGTTTTCCTTGGTCTTTTGTCTTTTTTTTCTTGCTGGAAATATGTGTTAAGGGAAAAAAAAGATGGAACAATTGTACAACAACTTCCAATTTTTAACGTTTAGCTAGGTACCCTCCATCTGTTGAGCCCTAAATACCCTAAAGGCACCAGATCCTCTCTGAGCATACTAAGCAGGGTCAGCTCTGGTTAGTACTCAGATGGAAGACCACCAAAACCAGATCACCAAAACCAGAGTAAGGAACTGACAAAACCACCTTTGAGTATTCCTTACGTCAAAAAAGCCTATGAAATTCATGAGGTCACAGTGAGTTGACAGGTGACTTGAAGGCATATATACATACAACCCTCCATCTGGAAACATCTAACAATGGGCTTAAAAGGTGTTGTCATCTATAGAAGAATTGTTTCTGCACCTGCTGGAGTCTTCTGTAACAAGTTAGTAGGTGTCTTTATACCTGAATGACTCACAGTCTCCCAGTATGTTCCACTTCTATTCACTGAAAGTTTTCAACAACAGAATAATCTGCAGAGCCATCTATTGTGAAACCAGAAGAATCTACCCAGGTCATCTGGTGTAACATGCTTCTTAACATATCCAAAACATTTTGCTTAGTATTTCCTTTAGTCACTAGAAATGATTTTAGTGTACTTCATAAATAAATATTTTCAAGCCCATAAAGCTTGGATAAAGCGCTAGAACATTTGTCCCATAAAGGTGTCCTGCTTTCAGTGTATAGTTTCAAGTAATGATTTATTGGCCACTTCTGGGCTAGAAGTTATCCTTTACAGAATTATTTCTCTCTAGAATGCAATGTGCAATACTGAAGTACTGCCAGAGACACAATAGCATCTTGTGTTCAACTTTCCATTGGTCAGTGAAGTTTGTGCTAATAATCAAATGCAGGTGTTGGTACTGACTTCATTGACTTGTTAATGTTAGATGTTGTGGAAATACACACACATATATACATACATACATACATACATACATACATACATGGGGAGAGAGGTGTTTTCCCAATTTCTCTACCCATAAATAGGGTGGAAAATTCCATGAGGCTATTTGATGAGGCCTGCAGGTTTGGACTGGGCAATTCAAATACATAGCAGTTGCCAGAATTTTAGTTCTAAAACTGAGCCCTAAAATTCCCTTGGTGAATATGTTCATTGTGAATAATCACTTCTGTTCCAGTTTAGAACAACACAATCTTTTTCTACAGAATGCTTTAAAAGAAAACCCCTCAGTGCAGAGGGTAACACAAAACAATCTCACTAGAAATATCAAGCACAGGATTTAGGGGGGAAGCAGACTGGCGGCTCTGCGCCGCCCCGGGAAGGTGCGCCGCAGGACCGAGGCAGCCCTACGCCTCGATTCTGCGGTGCTCCAAAAGCATAAGGCACACTTTCGTTGACTTATCCACTGCAGCGTGTGCGGACGCTGCGGCGGGAGGTTGCCCTCGGAGCGCCGGCCGTGCGGAGGGCCGGCAGCTCCGAGGGCAACCTCGGGAGGAGGAAGGGGCGCCGAGCGTGCGGCTACCCCTCCTCTTCCCTGCCTCCAGGATGGCTTAATAAGGCGTCTGCCGAGGCCCTTAGCAAATAGGCAGCAGAGTGAGGGAACCAGTGTGGTGTAGTGGTTTGAGTGTTGGACTATGACTCCAGAGACCAGGGTTTGATTCCCAGCTTGACCATGAAATCTACTAGGTGAACTTGGACACTCTCTAATCCTCAGAAGAAGGCAATGGCAAACCTCCCCTGAAAAAATCTTGTAAAGAAAACCCCATGATAGGGTCATCTTAGGGTCGCCATAAGTCAGTCATGACTTAAAGGCACACAACAACAACAGAGGAGTGAACTGTGCCCATAAGAAGCTATTGGTTCCAGGTAATCTGTTTGCTCAGGAAACAGATTTTTGGCTTCTATAAATGTGGCACTCCTTTCTTTACCCAAACAATCCAGGTACTGTCAGTAAATGGTGCTAGGTTTCTTTCAGGTCAATGGGTATGAGTCACTGATGTGTAAAAGTGTATTCCAGGGGTAGGCAACCTTTACCCTTTAAGGGCTGAGGGACTTCAGCTCCCAGAATCCCAGAAGCTATTGGCCAACATGGGACTATTGGCCAACATGGCTGAGGCTTCTGGGAGCTGAAGTCCCTTGGCCCTTAAAGGGGAAAGGTTGCCTACCCCTGGTGTATTCTATATAGGAAGGGTTTTTTGAGTGTGTAACAATTTGAGTGTTAGACTATGGAGATTATTGCACATCTTAAAAATGCAACTTACCTGTCCCAAACTGAAGTCTAATCCGGGTCCTATCACATGACTTTTGTCACCAAATCCACCATCCAAGTCCCTTAACGTGCTTCGGCTGCCATTTTTCACAGCCAGAAAACTCCCGACTTTGAAAAATGTAATACTCTTTCAGCCTCAGGGGAAGGCAATGGCAACCCCCCTCTCTTACCAAATCCTGCCAAGAAAATCCTTGATAGGTTTGCCAGAAGTGATCTGAAGGCACACAACAAAGGAGATTAGTTATATTTATTCAGAGTGTTCCTTGAGCATACAATGTACAACTCCACTGTGCCCATAGGCAATGCCATCTCATGCTTATTCCCTTAATAATATTCAAGGGAAGAGAACTGTGTCTTTATAAACAGTGTCATTATACCACCCAATTAATCATTCTAAATATTTTCTGTAGAAAAGGTTATTAGCAAGAGTTCATTTCATCTAAAGGTTTATGAAGCATTACTTTGAATAGAAGTACTCAGTCTTTTATGCAGTAAATACATCAATATCCTGTTTGCTTAATAAATTATGAGTGACAAAGTATAAAATGTAGAGCTGAACCATGATATATACATTCCTCTGTATTTAAAGCCAGATAATATATGAAATAGACAACTTGTCATTATTTTAGCAGGTTTTCAGACTCTGAAACATTGACTTGCTTCATGTCATGGTATCAAGTAACCAATTCTAAGTGGCATGTCTTACCAAATTTTCACTTTAACAACAAAAAACTTTGTACATGTAAATACATTTTGTAATTTAAAGGTATAATTTTAATTTTGCTCATCACAACTATTGCCATTGCATTCAGTGATATACAAGAAATTATGATTTATGACTACCATTAGTACAAAAACATTAATAAGGATTCTGTATGGTGTCGCATGGGAGGAGATGAATGGTGTGTATGGGTGTGTGTGTGTGTGACACCATGAGTTACCACAGTACATGATACCAACTCTACTGATGGTACTGGTGAAAACCATAACACAGTATAGTCATACACTCTCAACCTCAGAAACCCCCATGATAGGGTTGCCTTAGGGTTGCCATAAGCTGAAAAGATTTTAAAGGCACACAACAACAACAACAACAACAACAACAACAACAACAACTGGGCAAGTAATAACATTTTAACCTGCCATCTAACATATACAGTGGTACCTCTACTTACGAAATTAATTCGTTCCAGCA